CGTGTGTGTGTGTGTACGCGTGTGTGTGTGTGTACGCGTGTGTATGCGTGTGTGTAGTGCGCGCGTGTGTGTATGGGTATGTATGTGTGTGTGCGCGCGCGTGTGTGCGTGCGTGTGCTTGTGTGTGGGCGTGTGTGCGTATGTGTGCTCGTGCGCGCACGTGTGTGTTTTGTATGTGTGCGTATATAACATACAAAAGGAAAAACTGCACGTGCGAATCTCGATCATACAGCATCGACCGATTACTTTCAAAGCTAGAAGCCGCACAACGCGTATACGATATAATCAGGATTGTCATTATATAGGTTATAGATTATAGATATCGATTATAATATATAATAGACTATATTATGACACTCTTGGTTATATAATATACACGTTATGCGACTTCTAGATAATTAGTTAAATTAAATAATATCAGAAAAACTTACGTCATCCACTTGATCGAAGGCATTAAACACGTCGTAGGGAAGACACGACAGCAGATCGATGACGAACCAACTCTTCACGTAGTTTATTCGAATGATTTTCGGATCCGACACCACCTCGCCACCGGGGCCGACAAAGGTCGTGTGAAAGTTCAACACGATGTCGATGAAGAAGATCACGTCGACTATCGTGTCTATGACCAACAGGCCAACCGTGTCCATGCTCTTCGTGCTAAATGCTACGTTATATGGCACCATGATAGCAGTGTAGAAGGTCAGTATAAGAATCACCCAGTCCCAGATCGCCTTGAACGTCGAATAGTGCAGAATGATGTGCGGCGGTGTCTTTGGCGTTTCTTGCCGATATGCCGGCAACATTTCCGGATTGAGATTCAGTGTCTGCGGAAGAAAAGAGGGTTCGAACATTGCAGTTCGAACATTATTCAACTTTTCAAATGAGAGTTCGAACATTGCAGTTCGAACATTATTCAGCTTTTCGAATGAGAGTTCGAACATTGCGGTTCGAACATTATTCAGCTTTTCGAACGAGAGTTCAAACATTGCGGTTCGAATATTATTCAACTTTTCGAATGACAGTTCAAACATTGCGGTTCGAATATTATTCAACTTTTTGAATGACAGTTCGAACATTGCGGTTCGAATATTATTCAGCTTTTCGAATGAGAGTTCGAACATTGCGGTTCGAACATTATCCAGCTTTTCGAATGAGAGTTCAAACATTGCGGTTCGAATATTATTCAACTTTCCGAATGAGAGTTCAAACATTGCGGTTCGAACATTATTCAGATTTTCGAATGACAGTGCGAATATTGCGGTTCAAACATTATTCAACTTTTCGAGTGAGAGTGCGAACATTGCGGTTCGAACATTATTCAGATTTTCGAATGAGAGTGCGAACATTGCGGTTCAAACATTTTTAAGCTTTTCGAATGACAGTTCGAACATTAACATCGGCTGCTGCTACAGACTACGATCGGTCATCTGTTCTTAGGGTGGGGTGATGAGGAGGAGAAGTCAGTGGCGCAAAACAACTGGAAACTAACAAAAGGAATGTTTTCCGTGGAGTAAATTGTATACAACATCGCGTGATTGTACTAACAGCTACCAATTACTTTGCATGTAAATAAAACTTGCCAGTGTCTAGCGCTCGTGAATGGCGTTCTGTAAACTATATTTCGATATTTCTCATCTCTAGCTTCACATAAAACGTACATTGCGTGCGAGTTGACAGAATATCCATTAGCAAACATTGCATGACACCACGACCCTAATCTAAAAGGACGTATCAGGCTTGCCATTCGACATTGTGTACATCATAACGATAAATGATTCAACAAAACAAAACACTGTCCAAAAAAACAAAACGAAACGAAACAAAATAATGTCATGACAGGCAGCTACACGAATGCAGCGAGATGGCGCGGTATATCACGCCATGTTTTTCTCCCCTTATTGCCGTTAGTAACAACAGAATGCTACGTATGTACTAGTAGGTATACTAGTATAACAAGTACTATACTACATTATAATAAACTAGTGTAAGTCATATACGAATATAAGTAATAGACCAGTATAGTAAGTACTATACTACTTAATAATAAATTAGTGTAAGTAATAATATAAGTTAAATATATGTTAGTGTAAGTAAGTTATTATAGTAATATAAGTAATATACTAGCATAGTAAGTACTAGTATAAGAAATGTGTTATTCTGTGGGTAACTTACGAGGGAGATGCCAGTGTGTTTGGACTCCGATCGGCTGACCATAGGTTTTTGCAGATTCGGGGTCAATGCTGACTTGCTGCGGGTCACTGTCCTTGCTAGTCGTGCAAACTTGCTCAACCCAACTTTGAAAAGAAAATTCGTGTTTTGGAAAACGCAATGGATCGCGTTGAAATCGGAGCTTTTCACGAAAGATCAAAGGAACATACCCCATGGCCTTGCCAAAAAATTGTTATCAACATCAGTCTCTATATAGTGCACAAAAAAGCAACCCGCTGACAAAATATGTAAACTTAATGAGCAGAGAGAGAGAGAGAGGATTTTGTATTGTGGACACAAAAGTAAAAGGTACGTGTAACTAATCATGTCGAAAGAATAACATGTAAAAAATGTATATAACTACATAATTATTCTTACGACATGTAGCCCGTAAATAACAATTACTAGAACGTTGATGCTGCAGTTCTGCGCGCGTTGTGATCATTGTTACGACTCAACATGATGATTAGGCGAAGCCATATATCAGATGCCCTGCATTCATGAACGCTCATTTTGTCACGTAAATACAGCGTTGATATGGAACGAAATACAAATCACCGAAATTAAGGGCAACGTTAATAAAGCAGAACAGGTCATATGACGGGAAGATAATGCCCAGCGGCCGCAAATTAATGAGGAATAATGAAAAACGCGCCAGGTATACGCTAGCGTAATGAGAGATTGGCAGGCCTACGACACCCGGTGATATAAAGCTCGTGATGAGATAAATACACCCGGCATGAATGGCCTTTGAAGACGGGCGGCACAGGATGGAAGCGGACGCGTCCGTCATCAGGAAGTGTGACCAATCAAACGAGAAGCGTAAATCACGTAGAAACCGTAGAGCGAAATTCCTCGAAAGCACATGCTTCAGAAGATATATGACATTCATCAGTTTGCATCTACGGTCGAATTAAAGGGGTCGTAGGCTCTGTGTAATATTCTATCGTAGGCCCCGGAACCTGTTAAGTAACGTATCCTTTGTGCTTCACTTTAAATCTGGACTAAAATCAATTTCGGACCCAATTGTTCCCACATAAAAGTATTGTTTTCTTTGCACTTGAATTGACTTAGTCTAATATCTATTTATGTGTTGTTAATTTATATCTCTCACGCCTATTTCTTTTTTTTCGAAAATTAAAAGAAAACTTATTAGCATTCTTGCTCTTGACCTATACAATTTCATATGCCACACCAGAATGGAGATTTTCCATTTTCCAACATTCATGGTCACTTGAAACCATCGTACGCCCCGTTTTTAGAAATAAAATTGGTCTTAACATTAGTTTTAACATTGATCTTTTCCATAAACCGGACCGCTAAACACTGCGTATGAGAAACTTACCGTAACTTACCATACCTTCACCATGTTTATGGAAAAAGATTAATGCTAAGACTAATGTTAAGAGTAATTTTGTTTAGTTTTTTTCTCACAACGAGCCCCTGTTCACAGTGACCACTGTGACTAATTGTATTCCGACCGCGTCTGCTTCCTTAATTCAATTCAATTCAATTCAATTCAATTTACTTTATTTACACTTATGAATTACACTTTCTTGGCGATCAATGCAGAACCAATGACGCTTACCGACAGTTTTCGTCGTGTCGGCCTCGATCGGTTGTTTGAGTGAAGTGATGTCCTTGAAGGTGCAGAGGAACAGGACAACCTTGTCTCTCTCGTTCTTTATTGGCGCCACGTGAAACAGAAGCCATAGCGGAGTTTCTGGAACATATTAACGACACTCTATAGGCACGACAGCACGCGACACACTGAGAAAAGCACTTTGGAGAATGATACTGACTTTTCGTCGTCCTACTTTCATCACATTCACTCGTAATGCCAACAAATGATTTGCTACTGCCGTAAGCGATACATTTTTTGACAATACGCGTGTTTAGTTTCCGATTGACAATAATATCACCGGAGGGATTTTGATCTAAAAAATATATTTAAAGCTAATGACTATTTTCTTGATTTGAGTACTGAGGAAATGAAAAGAAATTAGATGATTAGAAAAGCCGATGCAATTAGAGTAAAATATTTTTTTTAACGGGCGTAATGCGAATGTCGAGTTGTCGGCGATTTTTTTGAAGTCGGAAAATGTGGTAAAGACATATGTGGTTCGATCACGTATGACGTTGCTAAAGAGCAAAAAATTGCATCCTTACATAGAAGTTATTTTCTCCCTGTTCTACGCAGTCATATCCCCCCGCTCTCTCTAACTCTCTCTCTCTCTCTCTCTCTCTCTCTCTCTCTCTCTCTCTCTCTCTCTCTCTCTCTCTCTCATTCACTGTTTATGTGAGTGTGTTAGTACGTGCGTGTGTGCATGCATACGCGCACGCGCTTGTGTGTGGTGTTCTTACATAGAAGTTATTTTCTCCCTGTTCTACGCCGCTCTCTCTCTCTCTCACCTCTCTCTCTCTCTCTCTCTCTCTCTCTCTCTCTCTCTCTCTCTCTCTCTCTCTCGCTCTCTCTCAGATGCGATTTTATTCTACTTGATTAACGCCGCGCTGCGTAATTTAGACGCGTGAGTGGAATAACAAACCGCCGCGAGGTGCTCGCGACTAGCTTTAGGATATTACAAACACATCGAGTAAAAACACACGACACGACACGACACGACACGCCACGACACGACACGATATGACATAACTTGATATGACATGAAATTAAATAAAATGGTATGATATGATATGATAAGATACGATACGATACGATACGATGCGATGCTATACGATACGATATGATACACGATACGATATATAAGGTATGACAGCGAAATTTAATAACTATGTGTTATTCTAACAAATATGGCTTTTTATTACCGGCTAAATTTGGTTGACGTTGTTTATGACATCGTGAAAACTACTTAGATTTTAACGATTACAGTAATTTTAACAAACGTGACAGCAACATCATAACACACATCCTCTATAATGAATTTATATATATATATATATATATATATATATATATATTCTATCATGTAATTATGTGAAGTTTTTATAGAAGTTTTAATCTGAAAATTTAAATCATAGAAACTGCGTTTCGACAAAAAAGCCAGTATAACCAGTTTAAATATTGCGTGAAACACCGAGTATTATTATCACGTGCGTAATATTCAAAGATAGTTGCTCATAACAAGTATGAGCTTGTATAATTGCTAAATGTTGTTGTACGTACGCCATATTCTTGCGTGTCATCGAATTTTCCAGCTTGAATTCATCAGATTGCGCATCGCTACCTGTTTCTCATCTCTGATCACCGCACCTGCCCGTTGCCATGACTACGTAACTGTTTACCAGGAGCTCTATTGCATGCTGCCATCTCACCGAATCGACAGAATATTGATCTGCTAGAATTGCGGGTTTACTGAGAAAATAGCCACAAAATCCCGGCCGCGCGTGTCTTAGCCCGTGTAAAAAAACATTAGGGCATCGTTCGCATGGATTTCTGTCTGTGTGCTGCTGAGTCGACCTGACGTGTAGTTTCAATAGAATTAGCCGAATGTCTAAATCGTGGCCATGGTGGTCATATTACTCGCTAATGGCGACGGAAAATAATACACCATACAAATATTTACACGTAGACAGTTTTTGGGAATCTAGCTTACCTTTGTTTAATGAGTACATTACTATTTCTGTGTACACGGTAAGGTAATCATAATAGCATAGGTTAGCGGCGCCTGGCAAATTGATTATTTTTGACGAGCAGTGCACTTATCGCATGCGTGTCCTCGAAATTATAAATTTGCCGGTACGGTATCACGCCTCAAATAGCTTACACCGTGTAAAAAATTAGATGAAAACAACATCGAAATTTCCTGTTTCGCCTCTAATTTATCTGTTGAAAGATGTTTAATTACTGCATTCGGTTATATAGCAGATTTTGGGATAGACGAAAGTCTGCAGTAAAACACTTAACAGAAATTTGGCAGCGGCGATATTAAAAGATTGGACTATAGCGTGTAGTGATATTCACAAAATGGATAGTTGCTTCAGACAAAGGACGCATATTGATTCGTTAACGATGCCGCTAGCCTCACAAGGATGGCTGACTTCATAATAATTTATAACACCATATG